GAAAGGAGCTAAAGGTGTAGGGAAGGTGTGATACGTAGGGGAAGAACAAAAAGGGAAAAGAAAAAAATGTGAGAGAATGAAAAGATGAAAATAAAGTGTTTGTAGATGGGGAGGGGAGGAGGGGGTGAAGGGAGGGCAGAGGTAAGGGGAAAAAATGAGAATCAAGACTTGCCATGTAAAGGTACATGATCCCAACAATGAATGTAACTGTACTGTATCCCTAAAATGTACCAATAAACTCAATAAAATTTAAATAAAAAAATAGAGACATGATAAGTTTTAATTCACCATATGAATTTAGCTATATCAAAATATGACCTGCTATTCCATAAGTTTTCAGATATATTTATCTTTACATTGTATGAGAAAAAGGCCAAATATTTCATTAGAAGCTTTGCCTTTTTTCATAATCTAATAAAGAATGAATGCATCTTTTCAAAAGACAGAAGTTAACGTAATCTTAAAACACAAACTCCCGAAATTACTTGACAAATAAATGCAGTTTAGTTGTATGTCCTGCAATCTAAAGTTAGTCCCCTTATGGATTCTGTGTTATGACTTTGTGCCTATTATGTGAGAAACTCACTACATTGTGGATTCTTTATGGCAATGAAGTTTGAAACGTAATTCTGTAAGAGTCATTGATTTATGTAAGAACTTCTGTAGTTTATAAAATGAGCTCAATAGGCCAGAGAAATCCTCAAACCATTCTAGGGTTATAACTGAAAAGATGGGTTGGAAGTTTAGTTCAGTGGTGCCAGTGCCTGCCTGGCAAATGCAAGGTCCTGAGTCCATCACTGGTTCAAAAAAAAAAAAGCTCAACTTCAGATTTGATGTCCTGATATTCTTCACAATTTAGGTTTTGTCCTTGGGGATTTATGGCAGTAATATAGCATTTATACTCTCTACTACTTATATATAGTCTACTATTTATACTCTATACTATACATACTCTAATAACAGAAACAATTTTTAATTCCCTAACTAATCAGGCAGTTTGTTTTTAAACCTTCTTACCTTTTCCAATTCCATTCTTTTTACTTAGAAGTCTCACAACTTTGTTTTCTTTTCTTTTTCTTCCCCCCCGCTTTTTTTTTTTTTGTACTGGGGAATGAATTCAGGCCCTTGTGCTTGTGAGGCAGGTGGCACAACCACTGAGCTAAATCCCCCAGCCCAACAACTTTCTAATTCACTGCATGATCTTATCTAGTTTTTAACATTGATTGGGCTTTCTTCCTTGGAGCATTCCCAAGGCAGCCCTCTTCTTCAGGTAGATGGGACTGATTTCTTTTCTGTTTTAATTTTGATTGTTGGCTCCTTGAACACATTTCTATTATTTGAATGTTCCACTACTTGTGTATGCATCTCTGGCTGTATGGCAAACTATCTAGTCATTTATCCTATCACAAATATTTATGGCTGCATATTATGTGCCAAATACTATGTTTATTGAGGTATACATAGGCACGGGCCTAATTTTCTCTCTGTACATACTCATAAGTTGAGCAGACATTCAACAAACAAAGGCACAAACTATTAAATTAAATAGTATGATTCAGATTTTGAAGAAAAATCATGTATAGACTTAAGGAACAATCCTACTGGATTCTAAGAGAAAAGATATTGGTTATGGAAAGAATTTTAGGCAAAAGTAAAATCATACAAGACTTGACTGATATTACTACTACATAATTTAAAATCAAATGGGACAATTTCAGGAGTGAAAGGGTGCTTAATTATTAGGAAGGCCAAGACAATCAGCATAGAAAGCTCTTAAATGGAATGAGTTTGTGGTGACTTACTGTATAGCATAAAATGTTTGGATTTTCTAGTTACAAAAGTGTTTTAACATGGTGTTGACAGTCAGTTTATGTTCTAAAGGAATGATTCCAGTTTATATATGGAAATTAGATGGAGGCATTACAAGAATGAAAATGAGTACCAGTTAGGATTCTGGAAAATGCAAGCCGGACAAGGTAGATGGAATGCAGATGTATCAGTGAAGCCTTGTTATATGATTACTGATTAGCTGTGGAAGATGTGAGAGAGAGTAATACAGTATTAGTCAATTTTCCAGTCTCCGAGATACACTCTCTGACACTCAGGATTTAAAGGACAGGATTAAATTGATTCGCAGTTTTAAGGGGTTAAGTCTGTGGTTGGTTGTCTCCAAGGCAGTGACACCACAAGGGAGAGTGTGGAAGAAAAGAGCTGCTCACCTCATGGTGGCCAGGAAGTAGAGCAGGGACGGGGCAGCAGAGCAAAAGGGGTGAAGACCTAATGTACACCCCAAGGTCATGCCTCCAGGACCCACTCACGCATACCCAGAAGTTTGCTTTACTACTCCCTTGGGTGGCCTCCAAGACAACAAAGTTCACATTCAATGTATTGCTCAAAAGCCATGATACAGAATTGTTTTAGAAATGTCTCTAAGATATGGCTTATAGGATCTGATTGAAGGCTGATATTTTTACAAATATCAATTTCAGTAATTCAAGGCTCTTTTTTCTTTACTTTCATTTTTCACCAACGTAGATTCATGGAAGTGGGTGAGATATCACTACGACTATTCTAGCACCCACTGATAATTTGTAACTTTTTTTGATAAAGCTAGTAAGTAAAAGGAGGGATGTTTTTCTAAAATGGCTAATTCATAGCTTTGTTATAGCATATCTATGGGAGCTTTAGTAGTATGCAGAAATTGTAATACTTATAGTTGACATTACCAAACCCTTCCTCTCTTCAAAGCATTGCTCTATTTTTATTCATTAATATGTCTCATCACAAAACAGTGAAGTAGGTATTATTATGTCCATTTCACTGACAAAGTGTTGTGCATGGAACTGAAGTAAAAAGATTAAATTCACACTGGTAGTAAAGAAATTGTGGAACCTCTATTCTGTGTTGAAGTATTTTGGAAGTATTTTCGTGCACACTACAATTATTCTTTTCATTCCTTCATCATTCCATAAAATTTAGCAGAAAACTCACATTTAAACATCAAAACCACTTTCTTCTTACAGCCATATGTACTCTGCATAAGCAGCCTGTGGAACTTG